AGGAAAACATTGGCAGCAGAAGGCACTTTGCACTTGTGACAAGGGTCTCCAGAATGGTGCAGGATTGTTAAATGCTTTAAATGAGCACTTTTATAACCTGTATTTCTGTAGCTCTGAAGTAATGCTTTTAAACTGTTCCTGCGTTGAGTAGTAAACCAGTCACAGTAGCAACTCCTTTCTTTCTTATTTTCAGAGAAGATAAGGTTTGAATAGAAACTGGTGGGAAGCGTATATAGCTTCAGATGGTAAAATCAGTGAGAAGATCTAATGTGCATCCAGCAAGCTGGAGCAGTGGGAAAAAGCCAGTGACACCAGCCCATTCGTTTTCTGGAGCTCCTGGTATTACTGCTTTTGAATGCCACGTGGCCAGTGTCACAGGAAAGAGCTGTATTCCCTGGTGCCCTCTGCGCTGCGGTGATAAGCTGCTGCCCTCCTCTGCGAAAAAGCTTATCTGTCAGAAACCCAACGGCATCCCTTGGGACTCAGATGCTATTGCCCTGGGCTGCCACAGGTCAAAGTGTGAAAAAATGAATTAGTATTCAGAGAAAAACAGACTGTTAGAAGTACAGTATAATGTATCGTCCTATGTGATTGTTTCTCTCTATCTTGCATTGACCAGTTGGCTCTTAAACAAATTCAGGTTTTAATTGCGTGTTTGCTCCGCTGGCGTAAAGATTGAGGGTTTAGCTCCATCTTCTTCCAGCACTGTTTATAGTCCAGTGAAACCATTTTCAGCTGTTGTGTTTCATGATGATAATGCCTAAAACTAGGAATGAGTAGAAGAATAACAACATAAATCGAAAAATGTTGTAGATTAACTGCTTACTCTGAATTCCCGGGAAGCAAGTGAGCAATCTTATTCTTACAGTTTCATTAATTGGAAGGGGCTGTGTCCTCCAGAGGGCTGCCAAAAACATTTCCTCCAAAAGGTTCACGTGTTTGTAAAAGTGAAATAGAAAGAGGGAGAAAATTAAGGCTATCTGTATCAGTAGAAGCTGAGTTTTATTAAAATTGTGCATGCAGCTCTTGTATGGCTGTCAGAGACAGGACTGTACGGCTCCCAGGAGTGTGTTATGCAGGATGGGAAAGGGCAGAAATTGAGTCTTTCAAAAAGCAACAGGTAATCATACCTGTGGTAGTACTTTTGAAAATGGAATTTTCAGGACAAGTCTTAGTGTGATAATAAGTTATATAAATATATGTATTAATACATCTACGCAGACCATACATACGTAAGATGTATGGTCTGCATAAGGTTGTACTATAAAAGACTCTATATTTGATTTCAGTGTTACTGACATGCTGTGTGTGCATAGGGTATCAAAAATCTGGGTTTTGGTTTTAAGGGTTAATGTAATTGGTAAAGTTGCGGGTGTTGTTTATTCACCCAGTTGGAGGAATGTATATAATCGTTATCTCTTTAATTTCAGTATTCTTATAATTAAAGGTTGGGAAAATACAGCTTTTTGTGACATGTAAACGATGAAGAGAGGAGGACAATTTGACTCTTACTTAGCTGGGGGGATAAATTAGCACGTATGTTTCAGGTTAATAACCAAACAGCTACATGTTTCCTTTACATAATTCAGATATCTGAGTTCAGTATTTTGTCTGAATTTAGGAAGCTTTGTCTTGAAACAGCATATTGACAGAAGTTGAATATGTGCCGTGCAGAGGTGAATGATGGGAAGAGAAAGAGGCAGTTACATATTCTTCAAGGGGTTTTGTGCCAAATCCAGATCTAAAACTTCTCGCAATCCATTTATATTTCTGTTATCTTCAAGAAGGTAATTCACTGCGGCCAGGCAGTTGAATATAAAAATTCAGAAAACTGAAAACTTCCCCCCGCCCCCGCCCCAACAAAGGATTTTATAGTTCTACATACAACACTGCTATTTCTAGAAAGAAGTTGAGGGGGTTTGTGTATATGTGTCTTAAGAAGTTAAGACAATATTGAAAATTAGAAGTTAAAATTCAGTTTGTTCTGGAACACAGCAATTATGTCAGACTTTTCAAATATGCTAAACCTTTTTAATTGCTCACTTTTTTTAGTGGAATTTTAAAAGAGTTTGATTCCCACTTAAGCAGTGCTGGGTACTTCTTAAAGCATCTCATGGAGCAGGCTTCTTCATCTGGAAGTTGAGGCCAACGTTTTGAAATCAGATTGAGTGTTCTTCTTGGCATTTTGATTCTAAAACAAATACATTTATCAATATATGGTGCTTCCTGAACAAAGGAGTCTTGCTATCCTGCTCTTCAGGTTTATGCATGGAGCGTAACTATCGCCCTAGAGTCATGTAAGATGGAGGGGACCTGTGGAGGTTGTGTGGTCCAGCCCCTGGCTCAAGGCAAGTCCAGTTCGAGCAGGCTGTAGGGCATTGTCTGGTCACATTTTAAATGTCTCCAAGGATGGAGATCCCACAGACTCTCTGGACCGCCTGTTCCAGCATTTGAGCATGCTCATGGTAGGTGTTTTTTCTCCTTATATTGAGTTCGCGTTTCCCATGTTCCAGCTTATGTCCACTGCCCCTTGTCCTTTCACTCTGTACCTCTGGCAAGAGCCTGGCTCCAATTTCATATACACGTCATCAGGTAGTTTTAGACAGCAATAAGATCTCCCCTGAGCATTTCAAGGCTGAACAAGTCCATCTCCTTCGGCCCCTGCTCATGCGTCCTGTGCTCCAGCTCTGGACCTAGCCATCTCCACTGGTCTCCCTCCAGTAAATCTTGTCCTGAGGAGCCTAAAATGGTACACACTCCAGATGCAGTCTCTCAAATGATGAACAGAGGGAAAGATCACTTCCCGGGATCTGCTGACTACACTAATGCAGCCCGGTATGCGGTTGGCCTTCTTTGCCGCAGGGACACTCTGCTGACTCATGTTCAACCTGGTGTCCACCAGGACCCCTATGTCTTTTTATGCTTTCCAGCTGATTAACCCCAAGGTGTACTGGTGCATGGGGTTATTCCTCCCTGGGTGCAGGACTTAGCATTTGCCCTTAATGATATTCGTGAAGGCAGTAGATAGGAAGTAATGTCCACTTTGTCTCATCAGGTTTAACATCCTGGGTCAAATTTGTGCCTATGGAGCAACCTTGAGGGAGGTGATTGTACCAGGTACAAGTTAGAGAAGAATTTGATCCTGTAGGTCCTCAGGTTGCAGTCTGACATTACACCTGACCCAGTGTAATTGCAGGCTGCTATTGAAATGGATAGCTCTGCTCTCCCCACGTCCCTGACCGTATGCTTCTGTTAACTTTCTTATATCAAATTTAGTTGACTGTTCAGCCAGAGTCAGATCAGCACTTAAGGGACTTAAAGGACAGAATGCCATCCGTTTGCTCTGAAAAGAACTGAGTATTTTCTTTTGGCCCAGAAAGCTTGAATGACGTGCCCACAGCTGCATAGTTGAGGCATGGTGCAGAGAAGGACGAGACCAGGTCCAGACCTTTCAGTGTCAGCACACAGTTACCCTGGATTAGGCTGATGGTTGTTTGATGTTTTACAATATAATTTTGTTGGTCAGCTCCAGTTGTTTCTGGGTTTACAAATATTGTAGGCAGGTGCATAAAACAAAATTCATTGGGAAATGAATCATAGAAGACGTATTAAAATCCTACAAGCCATTTCAGAGAGCTGCTTTAAAGATGCTTTTAATTCTAATTTTAAAAATAGATTATCCAACTGTGAAAATCACACTGAATATTTTTAAAAAGATAAGTAGCTAATTAAAACCCATACCTAGCAATGTTCAGTGGGTGACTGGTTGTGAGATGTCATTATATTCGAAGGCAGATATGCTGCTCTTAACCTACAAGGCTATATATAGTCCTGCTCACAAGTTAAAGAGCTCAGAAACTGAAACCTTGTTAATTGACTGTTACCACCTTCTGTTGTGCCTTCACTCGTGCCGGCGTTGAAATCCTTGAGTAGGGCTGCTTGTGAAAGGGAGAGGTCAGATGTTACGGAAATACTGGCAAATGTGTTGTGTATGAATTCTGGATTCCCAATGAACGAAATAGTGAAGCAAATGCCGCAACTTAATTACGAGTTTAGAAGACCAGTGAGGGAAGGAAACATCTGCCTGTACCTTTGGGCAGACAACTTCCAAGGAGGATTTCCCTGCTTTTATAGAGCAAGGTATCTTGCAGACTTGAAAAACTTAATAGAGAAGTGAAATTGTTGCCCTCTCCCCTCTGAATGGACGTGCACCGTGAATAGTTACTAAACTTTCAGAAAATAGGCCAAATAAGTTATGTTTGTGGGGTAGGAAAGCCTCCATACACGCTCACCCCGGAGGAGGCTCTGTGGCGCGCGGTGGTGCCTGTGAGCTTTGGCATGATTTGTGGGTATCATATACCTGGCTCTGTCTTTGTGCTGTAGGAGGTCAATTTTCCTATTCCTCTCTAAGTTGTAACTGTATTTTCTTTCAGATTGTTTAATTGCCTAGCATAGCTGAGCCAATTCAAAGTGAACGGTCCCTACTTCTACTTTATTTGATACTTGGTGCATCTGTTTCAGCTGGGCTTCTGTGTTCAGCTGGAAGTTCAGCTGGATTTTTGTTAGGTAAATCATTGAATAAAAAAATATATTAACTTTGCTTCTGGCTTCTGCTCCTGATATACTAGATACAAGAATGCTCAGAAGTCATGGTCCTTCTTCAGAGCAGTGAATCATTCATGGCTTCCAGGATATCACCATCTCCAGGATTATTAATGGTGCAAAGCCTGCCGTTTTACTGAGACCTCTCATGAGAGTCCAGTTGGGTCATTAGCTGAGTCCCATTCTTGTTCCTCATAAAGAGTATGGCAAACCATACTTGATGGTAATATCCTGCCCAGGGCATGCAACTGTGCATAAGAATGAAAGATATTGGGGTAGTTGTATGGCAGCGTAGTTGTGTGATTTTGTCTGTGGAGCAGGTTACCATTTTTGTGGGGGTTTAATTCAAAATAGATTACCAGTGGTTGTAATGAATATATGGGTGTCTGTAAATCAAGGTGAGATGTCTTCCTAAAAACACATAGGAGGTCAATTCCAAGTTCTTGTCTCAGTTTTCTGGAACAATTGAAATTCCTTGGCTTGTGCCTTTAAAGGTCAATCAATAATGCTTAGTTCTAGACTTGATTCTGTAACATTTTATTAAAATGAAAACATGATTAAATGGTGTCTTTCACGTTGGCAGTAGAAAACTGGGACAGCATTTGAATTATGTCACTCCATTGTTAAGACAGTTTTTGCTAATTGGTCATTAATTTTCATTATCTATGTAGAAGTGTATCACATTTGGTAATTTTTATTCAGATGAATGTATGTTCATGTGCAGAGGTCCTTTCCAACCTCAACTGTTCTGTGATGTTCATGAAACCCTTTTATTATTCCATATATTAGAAGGCTCCGTGACTTTAAGCAGTATAAAAATCCATTGCGAATAACGATTATGACCTTAAAAGAACATTTTTCTGTTTTTTTAATCCATAACACAGGAGGTTGCTGCTGCTGGATTGCTGCAAGACAGGACAGACTTGCTGCTCAGTGGAGCAGTGTGGCTCCATCACATCCTTTCTGTTATACTAGAGATAGTGTTGTGTTCTTCTGATGAGGTTGTTGAGTAAAATACATGGTACAAAATCCTCTCTTGAACAGGTGGAAATTTAGGACTCCTGGATCTGTACTAACATGTTGTTGGGCCTGTTTGTACCAGAATCACACATGGAATGTTTAGTTGTGTCAAAGGGCAGGACAATTTTAAAGGCTATTTCCATAAAATATTTTTCCTTAGCTTAACTTTAGGTAAGTAAGAAGGTAGCAAGTATTTGGAGTATTAAGTCATTAGTGAAGGAAAAAAAAAAAGGTGAAAAGCAGAATTCATTATCAGATATCCAAAGATACAACAATATTTAAACTCCACGTGTCCTCATAATTTTTAAAGTATTGCCTGTGGTCCAAATGGATGACAGTGTTGAACACTTATTTAGCTGGTTTAAAATAGATTTTAGTAACATTATTTAGAAACAAAGGACAGCATTGCTTTTGTTCTCTTTTTAAGTAATAAATTTTCTTTTAAATGCGACACAAACGTAGAATAAGCCACTCTTGGGTGGTTTAGGGAGCAAAATAATGTTTCTGCTTAGCAAGAAGTATCTGTGCAACTTTTGTAGTGAAGACCACCTCTCAATTGGTATGAATTTGATAGCGTTTGTGGGGGAATGTCATGCAGACTTCTAATGAAATGTTAATGAAATAATCTGATCAGATGGACTGCACCATGAGGCAGAAGGCTTGCATTATGTTTGTGCCCTACTTAAGCCATATTTTGCTAGCTTGCTTGGGATTTAGTTGGACATGAGCTTTGGGTGGAGTGAAACGTGTTTCTAAATCCTCACCATCCTTTGCTGCATTATGAAGTGATTTGTCCATCTGGTCCTCTTAGAGAAAAGACCTCGGTAGTTTCTGTGCCCAGACAAGAAAGCTCACAGTGGAAAGCTTTTTGTTTTAAGGACAGTGATAAAAAGGAAGGATTTAATTAAGTGTAAGGAGAGCTGTTGTTGAGCAGAGCTAACAAGTAATGTAGACATTTCAGGTTTTATAACTGGGATATATTTTCTCCTATGGGGGTTCACTGACATTTGCTTTCTGAGCATATAGACTAAGAGAAGGACTTTGATAGGATCAAAGTTGGGAGGACAAGTGCTGTTTTTTTAATGTATATAAGTCATCACTTTCACGCAGCATTTTAACAACATAAAAGCAGCTGCATTTGCCTGTACTTACTCCCTGTAACGCCAATTTTATTTTCATTCTGTAACTGATCCTGTTAGTGATCAACCCTTGCTGATACTACATTTCTTAGATACACAAGGATTTGGACTTGAGCGCTCAGTGTGTTTCTGTATCTTTAGATATTATTTTTTTCTAAGCAGCTGTAACATCTGCGTTTGCAATTGTCTGCTTGATATGTCCCTTCGATACTTTAGCCTCCAAGTGGCTGAAAAATCTTTAATGAGAACTGGACAAGTAGAGAAAGAGAAACCAGAGTAATAATCAGTTCTTTTATGGGATGATATTTAATTCTGATAAAGGCATGAGACTGTAACATGTATGCTTTTGTTTCCTGTGTTGTAGGCTGCCTTTCCCTGCGGGCGACCGGGTAACTTTTAACGGGAAGGAGTGCATCTGCCAGAAATGTTCCCTGCCCCCTTTTTCCCTGTACAGAACCTGCGAAGTAAGTAGGGGTTTCTGCTCTTTTCTATTGGTACTTCTTAGTCTGCACAGGTTTAAAGAACACAATCTTACACCAGTATGTTTAACTGGGATTTTTACCACTATGCTGCTTAAAAGGTGTCAAGAAATACAATGTAGTCATGTGAAAAGTCTATGGCAGTTTTCTGAGAAGTCTGATATTAAAAAGAAACACAAATGGTGCCATTATAGGGTTAACAATATGCAGAACCTCCCAGAACATTTGATTAAAACTGGAGTAAATCAAATTATTTGGAGAAAGGTGTAATATAGATGTTAATATTTTTGAGGATTTAGTCCAACTCCAGCTAAAATAAAATCCAACAGGATATTTAATCATTTGTAAGTGTTCCAGGATTGCTTCAGAAAATAGCAGTGACATGGCTGCATGGCTAAATACTACACAGGAAGGGTTAATGTATGCAGCGTGACCAGAGGGACATTTGCCTTGATCTCAATACTATTGTGTACTATCAGAAGATACAAACACTGCAGAGAAGAAATGTGGTCTTTTCATAACACGGTTTTTACAGCAGATCATAGAGTGGCATTGTTGCTCTGAACTCTGTCCTTCGCTGATATGTTCACGAGGAGCTGCCACGCTTTGACATTCATCCACCGCCTATATGTAATTAAACATCAAAAGCAATTCAATTAAACAGCAAAGACAGAAATATTTTTAATGACTATCATATCACATCGAGCTGGATTTGGCATGGCTAAGGAAGGACCCCATAGATTGCTCTTCTTTGTATATAAGGAATCCAGCTCACTTCAAGGAGAAATTTCTCCTTTTTTTTTCATTTTTCTTTGTTTTTCCCCACACCTCTTCTTTTACAGAAGTTTTCACCCTCTCCTTTCTCCAGTTTATCAGCAAAAGCTGCTGCGTGAATGCAGTGAGGGACGCTATGCTGATTCCTCTCTTGCTAATGCTGGGGAGGGGATGGCCCTCTCTCTTAGGTGCTTTCTCTTGTCACTTATTCCAGAGATGGATCATCATCAGCCAGCTTGGCTGGCTGCATTTGCAGATCCATACTTTAATGGCCTATCATCTGTTTGTCTCCTTGTCATATGGGAAAAGTGGTTTTGACTTTCATGGAAATCATTTGCCTGCTTGAGTACTGACAGAACAACGTCATTTGATTATCTGTGATACAGAATCCTTTAATGTGCTTACATTCCCTTTCTCTGTACACACACACACACACACACACGCCATAGAGAGTTTTTCTTGTGTGGCATTTCCCCAGCTCTCTCAGGTCGCTGCACCGAGCCTCCCCAGTGCACGGGTATCTGCAAACCTCAGCAAACCACTTGAGTCAAAGAGAAAGAACACTGGAAGCGTATCTTTATGGCAAAACCTGACCTTGGAAAACAAAAGTGTAGCTTTTCCCTGAATAAAATCTCAAACAGATGCAAGTATTTAAACCTCAAATACAGGTCTGCTTTCAAACTCATTAGAATTGGAGGAAATCTTGCTTGCTACAGGTCTTAGTGGATTCAGATAAGAGTCTTGGTTCAAACCTGGATACCTGCCACACTGTAGACTGGACTTCTAAAATAATTTGAGTTGGTCTTCACCTGCGACTTAACCACCTCTGCTTCTCAAACAATGTAGTGATGGGGGTGAGCTGATAGATACCAGGGCTTCTTAAAGGGCAAACTGAGGTCCATATCTGGTCTGCAAGTAAATTGTGCCATGATGTTGCCAGGATCTCAGATAAATATCTCCCTTACCTGTGTAGACTATGTCCATTCTTACCTCTTCCTTATTGCATTTCCTCAGTGTCTTGCAGTGCTGATCTCCTGGTGACATGCAGCACGCAGCTGGCCCAGGAGCTGCAGAGCTCAGGGGCTTTGGAAAATTGGGTAGCAATGGTATAATCCCCCCTTTGTGTGGGGAATAGGGCTTTGATGGGTCAATGGGAAGCACTGCAGCCACAGTACATGGAGATGCATGCATGTATATGTAGCAGCATATGTCAGAGCCTGACCAATGATAATATACAGAAAATTAACCAAATATCTAAAAAGATAATAAAGAATTTGGGAAACATTCAGATTAGTACGTAATATGTGAAAGAGCAATGTGTAGTAACAGCTGTTTTCCAAGCACTTACTAATCCTTAGGCTAGAACAGTGTTTCAGGAATAAATAAGCAGTGTCAGAGACATCTTGGTTGAACTGGAAAATTGAAAGTCCAGAATGGCAGTCTGTAGTTATGCTATAAAAGCAATAAATGTCGTTAGTGTCTCCTTGTTTCAACAGTCTTCTTGGAAAAGACCTTAATGTTTTAAACGAACAATTATTTTTATAAAAGAACAGTAGTGCACAAAAACACGTGACTTGAAGTAAGCTGAGTCAAGGACCAAGTAATGTGTTGACCCGCTGTTACGCTGGTTTTGCTCTTGGCTCAGAACTGCCTGATACATACAATGTATGTTATTCGTCAACCTATTTATCTCTGACTTGAGCTCAGGAATGCTTTAGGAGATCTCTTGGGACTCATTGAGCTCACATCACTGCCCCGTCTGACCAGTCCTTCTATTTTCATCTTCCCAGTTTGGTTTTGACCTCCTTTATGCGTTACATTTGAAAGAAATGAAGAACGTCAAATATTTGCTTTTTTTGCCCGAGTCCTTGAGTTTTTTATTATTATATAAATACATAGCTACCTGTTTTGTTTCTTTTATAAAATGCTAGCTGTGAAAATCTCTTGTGGCAGTGTTGATGTTGAAAGAGTACTCAGGGAAGAATATCAACATGTAGCAGCAAATTGATGTATTCTGCAGAGTTATTGGTTGAAATTAGGTGAGTCACCAAAGGATGCTGCATCCAAGACAGGAAGACAAGGACATTGCATCAATAGGCACTGTTGGCATAGCAACCACAATATTTGTTTTTAATTATCTGGCATTTAACAGAGAAAACAGCAGTTAGGAATACAAAAGTAACTCACAAAATGTTGCATTTCTGCTCACCCAAGCTTAAACCAGAGGAAAGGTGAATGACATCTGAGCACACAGTATTGTATTAAGTTTGTGAAATAAACCCTCAAGCAGTGAGATTAAATAAGATTACCAGATGAACCCCTGGTGCAGGGGAGATCACAAAAAAAAATCTGATTGCAGTTAAAGAATAGATACTGCAGTATTTATTGTCTTGTGGGACTAAATCCAGGCACACACCCAAATGTTCTGTTTTATTAGCAAAACTCAAATGTTCTGATCTGTGGCGCACACGCTTTTGTGCTGGGCTCATTTCCACATATTGGTGCTCTACAGGGTGATATTAGAGAGACATGTTATTACTCCCTTAATCCATTCCAAATCCACTAAAGGAAAATAAGAACTATCCTTTATTGTTGTGTGCTCAGAAATTAAACATTCACAATTGCGCTAACAGAGTGTCTCATTAGGGTCACGTAACCAACTAAATAGAATCTTAAATCAGAAAGTTTTTAATAGGACTGTTTAACTCTTTTAATGAGATCCTATGTTTGATGTTCTTAATAAGTAGATAAATCTTTTTTAAAGCTTTTGTGTATCTTTCTCTCCGTGCAAGACATTGTTGTGGTTTTTTTTCCTCTTCTGGCATCTCTGAATGACTCTTCAAATGTCTTTCAGGGTTTGTCTTTTCTCTAGCAAATTGTTGGTATACATGAAGAATTCCTAAAAAAAGAAAATATTTTTTCACATAAGATGGAAGGATTAGAAAGGTTATTGAGATACTGATACTAGAATAAGTTTATTACTGATGTTTATCCCTATTTTTCCGCATATTCTGACTGTTTTAACATTTTGTAAGAAAATTATACATAGACCAGAATCTGTAGAGAGTGGACCCTGTAGGGTAATAGAGGATTCATTTAGGATACAGAGAACAAGGTTCAAATCCCATGTCAGTGTAGCCTCCCTAAACAGAGCCCTCACTGGTGGACTGCTGGCATGGAACCTAAAAGTGGATTTGGCTTTTGCTACCATGATCAAAAGCATCCATCATTAAAAAAAAAAAAAACAAAAAGCAATCAAACCCACAAAAAAGTCTTGTCCTCAATTACTTTTTCTGAGGTGTATAGCTACTTCTCATATAGCCTGTTTAACCAACATAGCCTAGCTTATGTTATCCAGTTATGACATGTTTTGCATTTAATTTTCCTTACAACTTTTTGGAGCTTTATATAAGTGAATTTCTATAAATAATAAATATGTAAGTGAGTGTCTACAAATATATAGCTAGCCATCACTTTCACATGTTGCAATGTCACTACTACTCAGGAATTTGTAATGCCTCTCAAGTATTGGTGTTACAGAAGTTCACATCAGAATTTCAGCTTAGTTTTTCCCATAGCTGCAAAAAGAATTTTGAACTATGACTAAAGCTTTCAGACCCAGAAGCAAAGTCTAATATGAAGGTTCCATTATTTGTTTTAATCTCATGACTTTTAGGTCTTTTTTTGCTACTTTTATTGGGCTGATTTGTGATGCTCGAAAACTTAATCAGCAAAACTTCGTATCTTTTAAGCACAATATAAATGTATTAAAATAAAACCTAAGTCACTAGGAAACCTAAGTCATTAGCTTTTTCTTTGAATGATTCACGTCTTCTAGCAATGTTAGGACAATATTAGGGCAGCACCACTTGTCATCCATCAGTGAGCAGCCAGCAGCGAGCTTTAGAGCCTGCACGAGCTGTTACTAGGACACCGATGGATCCTCATACCAGTAACCAGTATTGTTACGTGACCATCTAAAGCGTGTGATTCACTCATATTGGATTTTTCTTTTGCAGATTGTGGGGGCTGTGGTTCAGAAATAAAAAATGGGCAGTCTTTGGTTGCCTTGGACAAACACTGGCATTTGGGCTGTTTTAAGTGCAATACATGCGGCAAGCTACTGAATGCAGAGTACATCAGCAAGTAAGTTGAGTGGAGGAGCATTTTCACTCATTTTCAGCCTTCTTTTAGTACCAAATAATTAATGCAGTGTTGCATATCCTTTAGTTTGTGTTTATCAGTGTTTGGAGGTATATAAAAGATTAGAGATTATTACCTAAATTATTATCTAAATTGTATTAAACACAGAAAAGTTCAAATTAGGAAAAATAGAATTTGTCCACTTACCTGGAATAGGACTTGCCGAAGCTATAGGAGGGCAATGGGTGGAGTATGCCCTTACTTATCTATGTTTGACTTTGCTATATGTGATGCTGTAATGTGAACAAGCAGATATTATTCTTTCCATGTGTTTCACATAAGCAAAAATACTCTCAAAAAGTTCATTAAGGAGGTACGTATCATGCTTTTGCACTGCTCCAGACCCTTGTGCTGTCAGATTTGGACTGAATGTGATGACAGCAGTGAGAGGCAGCACAAAGTACACACACAGACCAAGTCCCATGTCAACACTCATATCAGTCCAGTGAGATACAGGCCTTTCACTGGCCAAGGCACCTGGGGTTAATTTCTGCTTCGGAGAAGTGTATTGATACAGTGAAATTTTCCTAAACAGCTGAGTAACTCAATCACCAGTGCCCAGAGATGATGGAGTTTCAGAGCCGATGTCCCACTGACTTTCAACAATTCTTTGGATTTAGATTAATACAAGTATAACATTTAATTTCACAGCTTGCACTGGAGGCTGAGAAAACAATATTTGATAAAAGGGTGTTCTTAAATAAGGTTTTGCATTATCTCAAATGTTATGCTACTCTGCTGTATTTTGGTACAGTGCTTTTTTTGCTTGTTATTTAATAGTAAAAATCCCATAAATTGTAAAGATAAAGTTATTGTGAAATCCTCTTTTAAAAAAAGCTGAGTGCCAAACAAAATAACTCAAGAGAAGAAACATCCTTGCTTCAATTAATTCAATTAATTATTGTGATAACGTATAGGTTAGTCTCTAAGCAATCCAACTTGTGTGCTATAAAATTAGTTTTTATGTTTCTCCAGGGAAGTGTCCAATAAAATTATGCCTCTGCTAATAAATCTGTCTGATCATGGGCTATTTTAGCATAGCACACTAAACATAGTTAACTGTGTAAAATATAGGCCACAAAAATGATCAGAGGGATGGAACACCTCTCCTATGAAGAAAGGCTGAGAGAGCTGGGGTTGTTCAGCCTGGAGAAGAGAAGGCTTCAGGGAGACCTTATTGCAGCCTTTCAGTACTTAAAGGGGGCTTATAAGAAAGATGGGGACAAACTTTTTAGCAGGGCCTGTTGCGACAGGACAAGGGGTAATGGTTTTAAACTAAAAGAGGGTAGATTTAGACTAGATATAAGGAAGAAATTTTTTACAGTGAGGGTGGTGAAACACTGGCCCAGGTTGCCCAGAGAGGTGGTAGATGCCCCATCCCTGGAAACATTCAAGGTCAGGTTGGACAGGGCTCTGGGCAGATGTCCCTCCTTATTGCAGGGGAGGTTGAACGAGATGACCTTTAAAGGTCCCTTCCAACCCAAACTATTCTATGATTCTATGTTTAACTTGCAATTTGAAACAGAAGAATCTCCAGTTTCTTCTAGAGTAATTTATTTTCATTCATCGGTTTAGTGGTCTAAATGTAAAATTTTGTAAAATTGTGATCTAAATGTAAAATTAACGAGTAGGTTCATTTCAGAGCAATAGCCCAAGTGTTCTGGTTCTGGATTTTATAATAAAAGCTAAGACTTCTGTTTTTATTCTTCATATTTTTAAATTGTACATTATCTTAAATCACTTGTGGTGGTAAAATAACTGTTCACACCATGCATGAACATACTGCAAGGTCTCTTCTGCTGCTCAGGTTGAAGTCTCTTAGTCATTACTGGCTTCCCCAGAGCAGGTTCCCGAGTTGGTTAATCCATGACTGTCTTTAAGCAAGTCCAGTCAAGAATGTCAGTAGACTTAAGTGTTAATCAAAATTTGGTTTACAGTCAAGAGAGTCAGTTGAGAAATTACTCTGAAGTCTAAGCTAAGTACAATTAAATGATAAATAAAGAGGGAAAGAATAATATGTAGAAATAAGGTTTTTTTCCAGAGTGCGAAACACATGGAAGAATTTAATGAGTAACACTATCAAAACAAATGGTGTGAGAGTCTAAGGAACGGAGCGTCGTTACTGGGGGAGAGGCGATGGCTGAATTCAGCACAAAGCAGGAAAGTGGGATCGTGGTAGACTCTGAAGGGCCAGAATAGTTCATTAACTACTTAATTCTTTACAAAATTAATAAATAAAAGTATTTGGGAGGGAGAAAAGTCCATAAACACCCTGTGAAGTGTTGAATCATTAACAAATTTTAGCTGTATAATCTCCCAGTAAACGTGTAAGCCTACCTAAAGCAATCTCTGTATGGCCTCTTGTTCTTCCCTAGGGATGGCGTTCCATACTGCGAAACGGACTATCATGCAAAGTTTGGTATCAGATGTGACAATTGTGAAAAGTATATCACAGGAAGAGTGCTTGAGGTAAGGAGAACCTGTTATCCAAACACATCTCAAAGTGTACAGAGACTTGCTCTTTTGGGTCTAGTCATATGCTCACAAATAAGTATTAATGCAGCAGTTTAATGTTACTTTTGTGAAATACTACGTACTTTTTCTATAATTCTTTTCTGTTTCTTCTCTTAATGGTTTGATAATACACATACTCCCTAAGTGGATATATGTGGTACTGGAGAACATTTGGGTGGCAGAAGTAATACATGAATGGGTTATTAGGCACATTTTAACACTTACACTAAATTCCTTTGTAACTTCTGTTTTTTGGTTCTGTTTTGCGTTCCCCAGAGTTAGGGTGAAGCTGCTGAAAAACTAAAATTAATGGTTTGAAATGTATTTTTGCACCCAGAAATGAGCTGTGTTGCAGGGTTTTTTTGAGTTTGATGTTTTAAAAAGGTTGTTTAGTGTAGGTGAATGTTTATACTTTATGCAAAAGAGATTTCCACATAACTGACCCAGGGTCAGAAATGGCTATATTCCTTTGATCTAAATAGAATTTATCCTTGGATCTAAGTGTATGGTTATCCAATCAATATTATCACTTATCCACTTTTTCTTTCTACCCTTTCCCTGTATCTTGTGAAGCCTTAGCAGTACTGGAGTTAGGAAGAGGTTCCCAAGGTCGCTCAGTTCAGTCCTTTCTCTTCATCCGTTAAGAAAGCCTGGAGAAGTCCCAAAGGACTTCCACCAGAGAAAGATCTGCTAGGAGTTCATATAAAGACTTAACTATCCAAATGGTGGACAATTATAGCTATGGAAGGGACTGAGAAGCAAGTGGAAGGAAACGATGAGTCCATACTAGATGGCATGGTATGGTGTTAGGATTAGGCATGGGAGACTTTTCCATTGTCAAATGTTTTTACAGACATCTCAGAAAACAGACTTCTATAAGGGATTTGAAAGAGTATAAAGACAGCTTTCTCACTATTTACAGATGGCTCTCAAGTGGGAGAGGCAAAACAGAAGGAAACATTAAAAATTTTCAAAAATGTAAGGGGTGACCAGTGGAAGCTGCTACATGTTTTTAGAGATGTCAGCCTTTGACACTGAATGAAAGGTAGTAAGGGGGTGGACTTTGGAGGTGAAGCTGATTAACTTACATTTGATGTGATAAAGAAGAAAGAGGTGAATGCAGAGAGGAGTGTGTCATGGTAAAAGCTATAGCAAATTTGGGGTGCACTTACCCATAGCAGGTTACAGGGAGTGACTAATACCAAGATGGGAGAAGAACAGAAGCTCCAATTTCTCAACTGACTCTTGGCTTCATAATAGTGTGTTTTTCTGTCCTGGTTCTTGCCTTGAAATGTCTGTACAAAAATACTCCTCTTATTTGGTAATATTTTACCTGCAATATGGTTAAACAATAGCATGTGGTGTTATGTGGTTAAAAACTGGGTCCTTACTGTCTCTGTGGATGATTAAAAGAAAAAAAAGCTAAAAAGAAGATTTGCATAGTAACAGTGCTGAGTTGGATTTGTGGGACCTGGGGGCACATGTGGCTGTATTTGTTTCTTCTGCTTCGTGAGTGCGTACGGAACAGGAGGAGAATTCCTTGTTTTTATTGTAGATGGACCAATAACAAACTTGAGAAAAGTTAATTCTTTAAAGCTGTTGTAGGAATTTTACCATGACTGATTACGTCTGTCATTGTAGTTCTAGGTGATGTTTTTGGTTAGTGCACGTATGCCTCCCTCCTCTCCCCTTCCCCAATGTTGCTCTGATGACAGTGCTGTAGCACTGATTCTCTTCTTACTTTGGTACTGGTGCAGGCTGGGAGCAACTTTGATTGAAGTCTGTGGCACTTAACTGTGGAAAAAATACTGATGCAGATTCTGAAACCTTTTTAAAAAAAAGATGAGGAGAAAGGACTTTCGCGATCTGTAAAAGCAGAGCAGTGTCAGATAGTGTCACTGTCAGATAGGAAAGACAGGATGAAGTTAGTGTGAAGCAGGCAATGGATTTGAACAGGTACAATGAAACTTAATGTCTGGAGGCTTGTTACAACAACCTGGAAACTTTATGGTCTGTAACCTTCTTTCCATAAGATTGTATAAAACAATTTGTTGTTTTGTGTACAACAAAACTAATGAAGCTTGAATATAGGTGAATGTCCTGTGTCCTAGCATTCTGCTGTCACGATGGGTCCTGTTTCTCATGACGTCTCCTAAAATACCTGCTCCCACCCCCTCTGTTTCCCCATGAAATATCTCGAGAGCTTTCTTTACATTTCTGCTGCCTGTTTACATGGTCAAAAGGTGACACACAGTGTGAGGCTCCTTCCATGGTGATCAGCCTGTGATTTCCATGAGCCTTTGGACCTCTGTAGGGGATCACTTTAAATGGCCGTTGAGTTTCAGTGTTGACCGTGGAGAGCAGTTGGATGAGGAGGTAGCACTCACACCTCATTTCATTAGGAAGCTAGACTAAAAGTCATGACCTAAGCAAAAAGATTTGAAAGAACGCAGAGACCGTATCCATAGGTAACACAGTTAAGTCATCTGTTGTTTGTCTGCAGCAGACGGGCTTGTTCGAAAGGCTTGGAATTGGGGCTGATTCTTCCATCTTTCTGGTATCAAACTCGGTGTGTGTTTGTCACCGGGCAGCTTGCTGGTACGTTTGTGTATCTCCTGGTCAGGAGGACAGAAAGAAGAAAAAGTAGCCATGGCTGCTTTTTGTTGTGAGATGTATTTTTTGTGGAATTGTCTGGAATCCTGAAACATTTTTCAAAACTTCAGTGTTTCTTTTTACCATCTTGAATGGTAAAATCTGGAGATACACAGAAGTAATAGGGCAAATTTCTGTTAAAGTGGGGGAAAATCTTGACAGCAATACTTAATAATCTCCCAAGGGAGCTGCTGGAAGCTATCACTTAGGTCGTATTAAAACAAGATTGGACAAGGCACTGGAAAATCTACGTTAGGAAACAGTCCTGCAATGACAAAGGGAGGGACCATATGACCTAATAGGATTTTTTCCATTTCTGATATCTGTGATAATGTCAGGAGGACAGCTGCTTCCACAATTATTCTGTGCCCAGATTTTATAATATTGTCTCCCTTTCCAACACTTGTTCGTTTTAAGTGTTTATTCAGCAGAGGAGGAAGGGAGAGTCAACTAGTGTGAGTTACTGATAACTTATAAAAATATGGCTGTTTTTGTAGGTTGCCAGCCAAACACAATGATGATCTAGTTACTTAAATTCTTCCTTCAGCCCATTTTCTGAGGACCAGATTCATTCCATGTAGTAAATGGGCTTAAACACAGGATAGCTCTGTTTATAATTCTTTTCTTGTTTCTTCCCCTGCAGTCTACCTTCACTTGCCCCTAGTCTCCCAGGGAACTTGTACTGGAAAAGCTACAAAAGGGGCTGAGCAGCTAATTTACGGAGACCGTGAATTCTTCTGTTGCTTTTAAAGGCAACAGTTTTGCTGTTCTTTTTACAGAAACCCTGCCCACCAGTGCTTTTATGGGCAAGGTTTGCTTTGTTTGTGAAGCATACAGAGCACTGTTTAATGCAACATCAGTCCTCTCCTCGAAATTGCTATGTTTTATCCCTGACCATATATATTGATAAACCTACCATCTTAAATGGGGAGCAAGAGGTGGCTGGAGTTTACTTTATAGTTTGACTTAAAATGCAGTGCAACTGAAAACCTTTAGGGAGAAAAAGGGTTTATTTTAATGCTTATGCTATAGCTCTGTTCCCAATCCAGCAATAGCTAAAATCATGCAATAACACAGAAAATAAACACATTTTAAAATAACAAGCTGTTGATTTTTATAATCAGCCATTTCCCTTTTGTCGTGTTGCAATCTATTTCTCTGCATTTGGCACTAAAAATATTTTTTCTCTCTCTTTCTATCACAAGCAGTTATTTATTAATTAAAATCACAACTTGTGCTAATGAGCATATCATAAAAATAGACAAAATAAGTGTAATAGCCTTTTTTCTAAAAATACACTGTATTTTGCATGATAATTCAGAGCCTGATACAAACCCCTTTCAATCAAGAAAAGAGTTTCCATTTGTTTCGTGATCTTTAATCAGTCTTCTAGCTGTGTTTTGCTCGGAGGAGGCAGAGGAGGGTTGCCTGCCTCCAGTCCTTCCCACACGACAAGCCTTGCAGAAGCTTGGAAGGCTGGTGGTGGAGGTGCGTGGAGGAGCTGTGTGACAGCCACTGACTCCTCCAGGTCCCCTCCTGGGGAACATGCCTGGGTTTCCTTAACACCTGATATTTAGAAACTCAATGCCAGCAAACTCTCTATTTGTAAGTGGTCTCTGTATAGTTATTAATTCTTCTGATACAGATTGATTTTTAGCTTTTTCAATCTTCTTCCCTTTAATTGATGAACTCTAAGGAGAATTTATGGAGAACAGTCTTGGTTCCTCCCAACTTTTGTTTTGCAAAACTGAATGAGCCAAATTCTCCTCTGCTCCATAAAGTCAGCTCCAGGCTCTTCTGGTGATGCTCGTGGACCTTCTCACTGTCTATTCCCAGCTGGAACCACCTTCTCTCAGCATGGGTGGACATTGTACTCCAGATGATGCCTCACCACTACCTTGTGCAGGCATAGTAACCCTTTCCACAGTTTCTAAAGAAAGTATTTTCCCTGGTATATCTCGCACGGAGTGTGGTTTTTTTCTGTGGCTTTGTTAACATTGATAGCCTGTAGCGAGATATGACATGGCGGGGGGGGTTCTCTTCATCTGCTGTTTCAGCTGATGATGTTGTTAGAGGAAGCCTAGGTTGTTAGAGGAAGCCTTCGTATCCAAAGATAACCTCCTGGGGATGTTTTGATGGCAAATGTGGTATAGGCTGTGAGGGGATCAGGTGTGGTTGCTTGGATAGGCAACTGCAGCCCAGTGATGGCCAGGCTTAGTTGCCTCGTAGCAGGCCTCCACGACCAGCTCTACTGGTAGCTGATGAACAAAATGGATCTCTGCTGCTGCTAGCTGGTGTTTTGAATTTCACGTGAATAAAAGTTGACAGTGTAGCATGTT